TGGCTGGGTGACCGTGGCCAGCTGACCATGGCTGGGTAACCATGGCTGGGTGACCATGGCTAGCTGACCATAGCTAGCTGACCATGACTGGGTGACCGTGGCTAGCTGACCATGGCTGGGTGACTGTGGCTGGGTGACCATGGCTGGGTGACCGTGGCCAGCTAACCATGGCCAGGTGACCATGGCTGGGTGACCATGGCTAGCTGACCATGGCTGGGTGACCATGGCCAGCTGACCATGGCCAGCCGGCCAGGGCCGGGTGTCCCGGCAGTGCCCTCCCGAGCCCCTCACCCGAGCAGTGCGGCAGGGAGCCGCTCCAGCGCCCGTCCAGCTGGCACATCCGCGTGGCATTGCCGACCAGCGTGCGCCTGCCCAGGCAGCTGTACCTGACCACGGAGCCCACCGTGTGCTTGTCCCCCGAGATCTGTGCGTGGGGAGGGGACCCGGGGTGGCCACACGACACCACTGCAAGAGAGACACAGCTTCAGCACCCGGGGATTCTGGAATTATGGCTTTGGGGGACCTTAAACACCTGTAAATTCCAGCCCTTTCCGTGGGCAGGGATGCTTTTCCCTATTCCAAGTTGCTCCAAGCCCTGTCCAGCCTGGCCTTGGACACTTTCAGGGGTGGGGACACTTCCACCTGCTCTGGGCACCTGTGCCAAGGCCTCCCCACCCTCACAGGGAAGTTCAACACACGGGAAACAAAAACATGGGAAAATCTCCTTTTTTTTCCTAAACATTTAACACCAGGAATCCACAGAATCAGTGGTAAAACTGAGCTGGGTTTCCAAATCCTCCAGATCCCAACATTTTAAGAAAGGAGATCCCTTGTACTCAAGGGGGCTGAGGGAGTCTGGGATCAGGGTTTTAACAGGAATTCCCTCCCGGCTGTGGGAACGTGGATCATCACTCACCAATTCCCCAGGATCCATGCAAGGGGTGAGGACAGGACAAAAGGAAAGGAAAATGTGCCCAAAGCTGCTCGGTAGGATTTGGTGTGGAGGGATAAACATGGAAAAAACAAAAGGAACAATCCCAGCTTTGGAACAGCTCAAGCCAATTGGAATTTCCGGAGTTCCGAGGCCATTCCTGAGGGCAGGGAATGGGATTGCAGCTGGTTTAGTGCCCACAGGGACAAACTGGTCATGCTGGGAGTGGGGCTGCTTCTGCCTGCACCTCCCTGAGGCAGCTAAAATCCACGCTGGATCCCAAATTCCCAGTGTAAGACTGGGATCACCCACTCAGGTGAGCCCTCCCTGTGCTCCAGAGCTGCTCCTGCCCTCTCCACCTGCACCATGCCAGCTGGATCCTCTCCTCAAACCCCAAAATCCATTGGGATTCCACCCAGAACCCCCAAATCCATCGGGATCCACCTGTCCCCACACAGAGAACCCTCTCCAGCAGGATCCTCTCTTCAAACACTAAAATTCATTGGGATTCCACCTGGAACCCCCAAATTCCATTGGGATTCCACCTGGAATCCCCCAAATTCACTGGGATCCACCTGTCTTTACACAGAGAGCCCCCTCCAGCAGGATCCTCTCTTCAAACCCCAAAACTCATTGTGATTCCACCTGGAATTCCTCAAAATCCATTGGGATCTGTCTTTTCCTACACAGAGAACTCCTTCCAGCAAGATCCTTTCCTCAAACCCCAAAATCCACTGGGATACCATCTGGAATCCCCCAAATCCACTGGGATTCCACCTGTCCCTACACAGAGAACCCCTTCCAACAGGATCCTTTCCTCTAACCCCAAAATCCACTGGGATTCCACCTGGAATCCCCCAGAATCCACTGGGATTCCACCTGGAATCCCCCAAAATCCATTGGGATCCACTTGTCCTTACACAGAAAAA